GACAGTTCAGTTCAGTCGCTCAGTCGTGTCCAACTCTTTGTGACCCCATGGACTGCAGCATGCCAGGCCTCCCTGTCCAAAGAAGGCAGATAGCTAATAAACATATGGAAAGATGTTCAACATCTCTCATTAGAAAAATGGAAATCAAAACTAGAAATCAAAAGTTCTGGGGATGTAATGTATAGTTAATAATATTGTATATCTGAAATTTGCTGAGAGTAAATCTTAAAGATCTCTTCATAGGAGAAAAAAATTGTAACTGTGTGGTAATGGATGTTAACTAAACTTGTGGAAATCATTCTGCAACAGAGAAATCAAGTAATTACGTTGTATACCTAAAACTAATACAATATTGTAAGATTGAAAGACAAGCACTTAACATTTATCTCAAGGAAAGAGTATTTGATTTCATGACTAAATGAAACAATTTGCTATTTTAAAAAATATAGTTCAAGTGCTATTGGTAATAGCTTAAACTCATTTCCTGATGGTGGAACGGAGAAGGAAATGGCAACCCACTCCAGTACTCTTGCCGGGAAAATCCCATGGACCAAGGAGCCTGGTAGGCTGCAATCCATGGGGAAGCGAAGAGTCGGACACAACTGAGCGACTTCACTTTCACTTTTCACTTTTATACATTGGAGAAGGAAATGGCAATCCACTCCAGTGGTCTTGCCTGGAGAATCCCAGGGACGGGGGAGCCTGGTGGGCTGCTGTCTGTGGGGTCACACAGAGTCGGAGACGACTGAAGTGACTTAGCCACAGCAGCAGCAGCAGATGGTGGAAAGAAAAATGCATTCCAAGACCTTGATTTAGAGATTTTAAAAGACATGGTTAATAAAATTTCTATCATCATTGAAAGGAGATATTACAACTCTTTAAAATAATTAAAATGCAAAGAAATAGTGTTTATCCTTATCTTCCCTGTAAGAAAGGAATTGTAGGGTAAGCAATGGCCATAGATGATTAGGAAAAATTATTCCTGGTGTAAATTCTAGCTAATATGTGAAGAAAGAATGAGATAATATGAAAATTACCATTTTGTAGTCCCAAATAAATGTTAATTTAGTCACGGATCATTAACAGAGACTACGTGAAAGATCAACGGTCAGTGGGGAACTTTTATCTGCAGCATGTCAATTACCACCCCTCATATTACTTCTTACCTGGACCCACTGACCACTCTTAGACACTAATAATGGGACAACTGGACATTACATGGATCTGACATAATGTGACATGGGCACCCAGCAACACCTTGGAATAGGACTGGCAAAAACGTTTCACCTAAATCTTATCGAGGTTTTAGTTCCAACTTCCATTTTAGAAGAAATACAGAGACTGATGCTGAAGCTACAATACTTTGGCCACCTGATGTGAAGAGCCAATTCATTGGAAAAGATCCTGATGCTGGGATTGAAGGCAGGAGGAGGAGACAACAGAGACTGAAATGGTTGGATGGCATCACAGACTCGATGGACATGGGTTTGAGCAAACTCTGGGAGATGGTTAAGGACAGGGAAGACCGGCAGGCTGCAGTCCATGGGGTTGCAAAGAGCTGGACACAACTGAGAAACTGAACAACAACAGAGAATTGAAGAACAAGTTAGCCCTCCAAAAAAGCAGAGGAATCCTGAAGGTATGTTGCAGAACAGATAAGCTGACTTCTTCAGTGCTTCACTGACAAAACAAATAGGGCAACACTGTTCTAAATTAAAGGACATTTAAAAACTAAATGCAACCCAGGGGGGTTGTTTGGATCCTGATTCAAACAAATCACCCACCAAAGTGTATTTCTGGCTCAATTTTAGGAAAGCTGAGTATTAAGTTGACTTAGATGATTTTTAGCAATCACTGTTAATTATGCTACATGTAAAACATAATTTTATAATATGTAGACTAAAGTACTTTGGATTAAAAGACGTGATTTGCTTTAAAATAGTTTTGCAAAATAGATAAAACTAATATAACATATTGTTAAAATAATTGTAAATCCAAGCAATGGGTATATGGGAATTCACACACTTACCTCTACTTTTCTGTGTGTTTGAAATTTTTCATAATAAAATTTCCAAAATATACAATATAAAAGAATAGTACAAATGTCAAATGTGTGCAATAACTGTATTTAAATTGTCTGTCAAGACTTACAGACTTCAAGAAGGAGCTTATGGTTTGGTTACCTGGTTATGGGGAACCATATGATGAAAGGATAATTAGGGAGTTTGGAGTGGACATGTACACCCTGCTATGTTTAAAATGGATAACCAACAAGATCCTACCGTATAGCACATGGAACTCTGCCCAGTGTTATGTGGCAGCCTGGATGGGGAGCTTGGAGGAGAATGGATACAAGTGTGTGTATGGCTAAGTCTCTTCACTATTCACTTGAAACTCTCACAACATTGTTAATCAGCTACCCCAATACAAAATAAAAAGTTAAGAAAAAAAAAGTCTGTCAAGTCCACTGTAGTCTGATTCAAATTAGGAGTGGTGGGCCATGTCCAATCCACTCACATGTGGCGCATGGAGCTCTACCACCCACCTTGTGACCTTGAACAATTACTACACCTCCAAGCTCTGTCTTTGGAAAATGAGCTCAGGGTAGCCCCTACCCCTGTGGTTGCTGTGGGGATTTACCTACATGAGTTAATACAAATAGGAGACGTGGGTGACAGAGTGAAAGTGTTCAACCAGTATTTATGCCTTCCCTGGGCCAGGCACACGCTGGGTGCTCCCTCACTGAGCCTATGGGCTAGGATGTGTCAGGGAGAAAGACATTTCCCCCTACCTTCCCAGGTTCTTCTGGCTGGTCTAAGAATTAAATTGACAGGAGACAGATTCATGGGAGAAAAATCAAACAAAATTTTAATAATATGGATGAAAGGGGGAACCCAGGAAAACTAAGTAACTCGGCTGAAACCCTCACCTTAAATAGCATCACCAGCTAAAGACAAAAGAGGATGTTGAAGGTATGCAGGATCAGTTATGGGAGCTTGTCAGGAAAAAACAAGGGTAAGATTTTATGCAGGTATAAATTCCTCCCTTCTCCACTTGATAGGTTTCTAGAGATTTGGTCATCTGCTTTCCTATAGCAAGCGACACATGACTACAAAGAGATTCCCCTTATAAATGTAAACATTAACAAACAGGTAACTCCTGCTAGGTTTTCAGAGTTGTTTTGTCTGTCTTTGCTTTGTCTGCTGCTTTTTAGAAAATAACCAGCTTCAAATAATTAATAAGCCAAAGAAACATATTTTAGGGTGACAAAGTCTGCTTACCTATGGATGGCAATACAGACCTTTCTCAAGCAGCACAGACATACACAAACACAAGCATCGGCAAGGGCCATGGAAGGAAAAGACAGCGGGCCATCAGAGATGTGCTGACTGGTGAGTGAGAAGGTCAGTCTCCAGGTTCAGGACATTCAACTGGACAGCAGAGTGGTTAAAGCAGGAACTCTGGGTAGAGTAGTCGAGTCTGCCCGCAGCTCCTCCGCCTCCTACTAACCATGTGATCATGAACAATTCACTTGACCTCTTAGTTCCTTCATCTATACAATGAGTGCAAGAAGGCTCAGTCCTTACCTCATAGGGCTGTGGTGAAGATTACATGGTTAATAGTGTATGGTGCTTAGCACTGCAGAGGGAGGCAGCAAGTGCCCTTTTGTAGTTGGCAGAAGAGCAACTGGCACACACCAAGCCCTCAGCTATTATCTCAATGGTACTTTGACCAAGAGCAAAACAAAATATAATGCTGTCTCAACAGTCTGGCCTAGGAGGACTTAATGAGCTAAGGCTTTCAATTTCCTCTTTTAGTAAACTCCAGCTGCACTTGGAAGAATTTATAAAAAAAAAAAAATCCCCATGTGCAGGTTCCATTCTGAAATAGATGAATTCAAAATTATTAGGGAGAGACCATGGGCATCCTATTTTTTTCAGAAATTTCTGCAGTCATTTTAATTGCAGCCTGGGTTGAGAACCATCGATCCAAGACACTCAAAATGCAAGACGGTTCAAAACTGTAAACCTCTACAGTGCAATGAGTTATTAGTTACTGTGGCCTCCAGTGTACAACCCATGGTCTAAGAGCATACAAATAACCAGGCTTCTGAAGCGGCTGTGTGTGTTAGTCGCTCAGTCGTATCTGAACGGTGAGGTTCCCAATAATTCCTGTCCTCTCATACCACCCCCCTTTACCTTGACCCCCTCAACCCCTTTACTCCCAAGAGCAGAACAAACATCCGGAGGAAATGCGCACAGGTAAGTCCCCTGGCTTAATTTAAGAGCCAGCTAGGACAGGGAGGCCTGGCGTGCTGCGATTCTTGGGGTTGCAAAGAATCAGACACGACTGAGCGACTGAACTGAACTGAACTGAAGACAACACTCTCCGGGGTTGAATTATTTACAGGCAGAGGCCACCCAGCTCAAGCAGTGTATGGTGCATCCGCAGCAAGGTACCTTTCCGCATCCCGGAAACCTTTACAACGGAGAAGTTAACCCAGATATTAGTCCTTAGGGTGGGGAGAAGGAACGGATCAGGTTTCAAATCCCTGGTCATAGAGTCCATTTCCGAAACCGTAATTCAAGAAACGAGTTTGTCTACTTGGAGGGGCTTAAGTGCCATGTCCTCCATCCAGCTCGCTTGGGTCGTGGTTCCATTTGGATGTATACATGTGTCAAAACCCACCGAGCCGTAAATCTGGGCCTTTTCCTTGGGGTAAAGGCACGCCTTTATTTTTAAAAACAGCACTGGGGAAAATTAAGTCGGCACTCAGTCGTTCGCTACGAGCTTCACGTAAAAAGATGAATCAAAGAGGGGAACCCCAGATTAGCTACCCACGCCCCGTGTGACCTGCCAGATTAGGTTTACAAAGGGAGCCAGGCTGGAGGGTCTAAGGACGTCCTTGGACTTTCCGACAACGCTGGTCCGGAAGGAGCAGACGGAGCCCCAAGCACCGCGCGGTTTCGCCTGGATCTTGCGCGGCCAGGCGTCCTTACCGAGCAGCAGGAAGGACAGCAACCACTGCAGCACCGCCGCCGTCTGCAGCCGCCGCGCCAGCGGGATGTTGAGCGGCGCAAACTCTACCTTCATGGCCCGGCCGTGGCTAGCGAGAGCGGCGCAGAGCGCTGCCCCGCTGCGCCTGCAGGGTGTGAGCAGCCGCCCCGGCCAGAGCCCGGCCCTCCGGGCGCAGAGAAGGCGGCGACCGCCCCGCACTGGGCGCGTACTGGATTTGGTCTTGGGTGGGAGGGAGCGCCGGGACCGAGCCTGGGGGCTGCCAATCACGAGCGCCGGGGCTCTGGAGCAGCTGCGGCGCCCGGCGGCGCACTGGCTGAGTTGCCAGGGCGCCGAAGAGAGAGCGCAACGCTGGGCACAAGCGTCGGCAAGCGGGGTCCGCTGGCAACCTGCCCGAGCCCGGCAACTCGGGTGTTCCTGCAATTAGCCTAGAAGCTCGGGGATCTCCACCGAACCCTGACCACTGTTCAGAGATCGATTACTGTGCGCCCGGCTTCAGCATCCGCCCTTAAACCCACCTCTTCCTCCTAAAGTGTCTGCAGCTGGGGAAGAGTTAGGCTCTCCCACCAGCTGGAGGTAGGCGCAAGAGTTAGCTTCTCTGGAGCTTGGTACCCATCTGTTTATTGGTCTGTGTCCCCCACACCACCCTCAAACTCTGGGGGACTCCTCACCTTTGTGTCTCAGATTCCCACACTTATCCTGAAAACCTTTCGCTTACTCAATGGACATTTATTGAATACCTACCACTTGGCCCGGAACCAATCTGGGCGCTGAGGATATACTAGCTCATTCATCAATTCTGCTCTCAGTACAAATGGGGGTTGGAGGGTGGGGGTGGGGGAGGGAGAGAAACAAGAAAAAATAACACCATTGGGTGTGTAATTGCAAAGTGAAACCCTACTATGAATGAATGAGAAGGTTCTAGGACTTAGACTGGAGGGTCAGTCTCAGAAGAAGTGACCTTGACTTTAATTATAAAGGTGAATCTAACTCAAGCGAAGGGAAGCACATGTGCAAAGGTCCTGTGGCTGAAACTAAAGACCAATATAGTGGGAACTCAGGGAACAAGAAGATTGTAGTGAAATGACTCAAAAACAGTGGCCAAGAATCAGATCCTTGCAGGCTGTGTTTAGGGTTCAAATCTTTACCCTAAGATTTGCCACGGAAGGATTCCATTTATGATATGTTAAATAAATGGAGAGATTCTAAATTGTGCCTCCGGCTTCCCTTGTGGCTCAGTGGTAGAGAATCTGCCTGCCAAAACAGTAGACACAGGCTGGATCCCTGGGTCAGGAAGATCCCCTGGAGAAGGAAAGGGCAACCATTCCAGTATTCTTGCCTGGGAAACCCCATGGAGAGAGAAGCTTGGTGGGCTGATAGTCCATGAGGTTGCAAAAGAGTCAGAGATGACTTTGCAACTAAACAACAGATTGTGCCTCATCCTGTGAGCACACACTACATTTTCTTTATAAATCTTACTGTAGAGTTGACCAACACCAAGTAGGAGGTAGCTGTCAAGTCACTGCTAGAGGGAGTTCGGAACAGGCAAATTGACATAGTTGACTACCAATCCCCCCACCATGCCCCTTTCTCCTTCAACATTTTAATAGAAAGTTGGATAAAAACAACACCGCCTGAGTAGTTCAGGGGAGTAGTTTGTGACTTTTTGTATGCAAAACTTGCTGGGTTTTTTTTTTTTCCTAATTGAGAAATCACTTTGTTTTTCTGCCCCATTTTCTTTATTTCAAGCCACAGGTCTACTTGGAGGGTCATGCAGCAAGTGGCTTGTAAATAAAATCAGAGTCTATGAATAGTGTCAGCACATTAAGAGACAGAATCACTGACTTCTCTCCTTAAGTCAAGATCTTTGGGATCCAGGAGTTGGTATTATTTATGGCACACCTGAGAGGTACCTGGCTCCGATTAACATGACCATGCTACTCACTACAAAAAAGCCCAAGGGCAGACTACTAAAGATGCCAGTGTCACCATTTTCTGAAGACTTAGTGGTAGCCCAACCCATGGACTTCATCACAGCTTTCTTCCATGTGGAATAACGAATTTCGCTCTCCTTGGCATTGATCTGAGGTTCAAACCGCTCCATCGTGACAGCTGACAAATCCTCAGGCTCGAGACTCCACACGCTGACCCCTTCTGCAGCCCCTGCGGCCATGGCAGCTCCCAAGGCAGTTGTTTCCGGCATCGAGGGCTTCACTACCGGGATATACAGAATGTCGGCTTGCAGTTGCATCAGAATTTTGTTGTTGGTCATTCCCCCGTCCACCTGCAAGTGACTGAGTGGAATTCCACAGTCGCGGTTCATGGCGTCCAGAATTTCTCGGGTTTGGAAACAAACAGCTTCTAGTGCAGCAAAAGCAATATGGCATTTATTGGTGAACTGAGTGAGCCCACAGATGATCCCTCTGGCACTGGGCTCCCAATAAGGGGCATATAGGCCTGAAAAGGCTGGGACGAAATAGCAACCATAAGAGGTACCTACTTCTTTAGCAAGTTTTTCAATTTCCTCTGAGGTCTTTATAATTCCAAGATTGTCCCTTAGCCAGCGAACAACAGCACCGGCTATAGCTACGGAACCTTCTAGTGCATAATATACTGGTTTGTCTCTGCCGAGCTTGTAAGCCACTGTGGTCAGAAGGCCGTGTTCAGAAAATACACACTTATGGCCTGTATTGCATAGTAAGAAACAGCCTGTCCCATACGTGTTTTTGGCTTGTCCGTCCTGGAAGCACAGTTGTCCCACCAATGCAGCAGACTGGTCCCCCAGACACCCCGATATGGGCACACCTTCCAAAGACCCAGCTTTCATTAGGCCATAGATCTCAGAAGAACTCCGGATATTTGGGAGAATTTTCATTGGAACTTCAAAAAACTCGCAGAGCTCTTTATCCCATTCCAGAGAGTGAATGTTGAAAAGCATTGTCCTGCTTGCATTTGTTACATCTGTACAATGGACACCTCCTTGGGCTCCTCCCGTCAAGCTCCAAATAAGCCATGAATCAATGGTCCCAAAAAGCGCTCTATCTTCTTCAACTGCCTTTTTAACTTTTCTCACGTTGTCAAGGAGCCAACGGAGTTTCACTGCGCTGAAGTAAGTGCTCAGTGGAAGGCCCGTCTTGGTCTTGACAAAGTTGTTATTTACTGGAATGCTTTTACTAAGACTCTCAACGGTAGACTGGGTTCTCAGGTCGAGCCACACCACAGCATTGTAAAGAGGTTCTCCAGTTAACTTGTCCCAGACTACAGTGGTTTCCCTCTGGTTACTGACACCAATAGCTTTTATGTTGGAAATATCAATATTGAGCTGTCCAAGTTTCTCACACGTTTTCTCTATACACTCATAGACGGACAGCAGGATTTCCTTGGGGTCTTGTTCCACCCATCCTTCTTTAGGAAACTCTTGTTTTATTTCCACTTGATGATGACTAAGTAGTTCGGCTGTTTTTGAATTGAAAACCAAAAAGCGCGTCGAGCTGGTACCCTGGTCCACTGCTCCCACCAACGGCCCCAAAACTGCTTTCTTCGTGGCTGCCATGAAACTAGCTTCGGTCGGCGGGCTGGCGAACGCTTCCCGTTTCCCAGGTGACGGCGGCAGGCGGGGGAGGGGAGGACGGCGAGCCCAGAGGGCCAAGCGGCGCTCAGCCTCAGAACGCATTATCTGCTCCAAGCTTCTCGCCCCGCCCCTTCCACTTCTAGACCTCTTCCCTGGACCTCCCACCACTGCTACTGGGAATGTTATATGAGTAGACACCAAGTCACACATTTTGCAAAGCCCTTCACCAAACAGAGCGCATCGTAAAGCAACCCTGTGAAATTAGCTCATCTGTCAGTTAATGAAGGCCAGGGTCAAAGTCAAGCAACCGGCAGAGTGACAATTCAGCTTTGTTTATAACAAAGGAGAGTCCTCCCTTCTTCAGTTGACCCAAACGTGGAACAAGCCTTTATGGAGTACCTGCTTGGCACTAGGCATAGCCCTCGGTCCTGATAATCCAAAGGTGAATTAAGACAGGGTCGCTGAGACTGAGAATTCACACGCATTCATTCATTGACTATGGAAGGGCGTCCACGTGCTAAACACTAGGTGGGGGATGGGGACGGGCTGAATAAGAGGGGATGAATAAGAAAGGTCTCTGACCTCATAGGGCTCAGAGTCTAGTGAGAGAAACAAAATAAACCAAATATGTGCTAGTGCCCTGAAAGACACACACAAGTTCTAGTGATAGAAGATGAACACCTAATTATTTTTTTAAATTAACTTATCTATTTTAATTGGAGGCTAATTACTTTCCAATATTGTGGTGGTTTTTGCCATACATTGACATGAATCAGCCACGGGTGTACACGTGTCCCCCATCCTGAACCCCTTCCCACCTCCCTTCCCATCCCACCTCCCTCCACATCCCATCCCTCAGTGTTGTCCTAGTGCACTGGCTTTGACGCCCTGTTTCATGCATTGAACTTGGACTGCTTCTTTCACATAGGGTAATATACATGTTTCAGTGCTATTTTCTCAGATCATCCCACCCTTGCCTTCTCCCACAGAGTCCAGAAGTCTGTTCTTTACATCTGCGTCTCTTTTGCTGTCTTGCATATAGCGTCTTGGTTACCATCTTTAACACCTAATTATTAATAGAAGAGATTGGAAGTAACAAGAGTGGAAGTAGGGAGACCCTAAGGAGGCTATTGTGAGAATAGACGATGCTGGTTGGCCTACTGTGTTAGCAAATAGAGATGGATTTGACATAAGCTTGAGGGATATAAAGACTGACAGGTTAATTGGATTCACAATCTATTGGCAGGTAAGACGAGTGGGATACCCAGAATTCCTATTCCTAGTCAGTTGGAGTTCGCTGTCCTGAATTATGCTCTTGTCACTTTCCCGGAGCCCTCAGCAGGTAGAAAAGAATTTCATATCTCATCACAACTCATTTGAGCAAAGTAGGGACCCATGAAGGTCTATCACCACTTTAATTAGCAAATAAATCATTCATTCACTTGTCTAACATTCAACACACTTATTTTGTACATATTGTGTACATATTGTGTCCCAGGTTATTGAA